AGTATCAGCAAAATGGGCACTGTACTACCAGCCTCACAGGATTAGAGTGAGGACTGGAAGCCTGAAGCACAGAGAATCAATAGCCAGCAATTATGATTACTACCTATCCTAGCGAGTTCTATGGGCTTCCAAAAAGATTCCCAACCTCCAGATGAGATCACCCTGCTTATTAAAAACTATGCCAAAAGTTTATCAAAATACAGCTTTTCTTGATAAGAAACCAAGTATACCAAAATCTAGCTTTCATCCCATTCAGCTTTAACAAGAATGCAAAAGCAAAGGTAGCTGCTATGTATACCAGTGGAATTTTGACAAAATTGCTAAATCAAGAGAGAAATGTAACAACAGACATGGCCAGCCTGTCACTTCCCGCTGGTACAGACTTCTGACATCACAGCGCTCAGCTATTCCTTTCACGGATGCGACTTAAAACACACACAGAACCTGGTGGGTTTCTTGAGTTCTCTCAGTCTTACATCTGAAAACTACAGTCAGTGTTAACTAAAAGCACTACCAAATTTAATTTCCATGTGGGATTAGTCCCTAACTGAAAACTTGCAGCACTAACTCTAACTGTAAAAACATTTGCAAATCAAAAAAAATAAATCTTTCGAGATTCATAAATACACATACAGTAAGTAAAAACCAACATTATCACAGGGAATTATAAACTTTCTTATACTTTCAAAGTGTGAACAGTTGAGAGAATCAACAATTAAAAAACAGTTGAGATCTCACCCAATTTAGGGATGATGATGTAAAGAACATTCCTGTCCAAGGCTACGGTTATCAATTTTAAAAGTCAAGAAAATTATCAAAATTCCTTTAAGAAATGAACTGTTTAATTCTTTCTGCAAATGTGTTTGAGCTGTGTGGGTGATAACAGGAATTTTCAACCACATGTGTGTTAGCACCCCAATTATCACAATGTTCAAGGGTCAACAGTTCTTCTGTCCAAAGGCTACCTTCAAATTGGCACTACAGAAACTGCTCACTAGTCAGCAGCTTTCCAGGGCACATTGTGTGAGAAATATAGAAGGTCCCCAGCTAACACTGTCAGGTTCTCAGAAACTGCAATTAATGAAAGCAGGTCCTCCAGTAATGTTACTGTTTTGTGCAGAGGGGCCTGGGAGTGACTTTTCTCATCAAAGTTTTAATAAAACAACACTCAACAAAATGACATTATTCCAGTGTGCTGCTGTACTTTTTTTTAGCAAAGTAAATTCATTTATTTTGATTATGACCAAGAAGTTATAATTTAACTTAAAAAATCACTTTGAAAATGTACAAAATGATGTAAAAATAAACTGTTATAAAATTTTTTTAAAAATCACGACTTTGAAAACAGCAATACATTGCAATATTAAAAATATATTCCAAGCCAGTAAATATTTTATGTTGTATTTAATGCACTTCAGAGATGCTGATATTTTTCTTTTGTACTGGGAAATACTAACAAATAATAAACATCTCTAGAAGGGTTTCAGTAGTTAAATATAATCAAATAATCTAGCATACTGGAAGACATTCCAGGAAAAAAAATTGGGGAGAGCCTTTAAATCTCATAAATTCATTCTAACATCTTTTTTAGTACATGTTCACTAAGACCACTATGCTTTAAAAACAGTTGAAGATTCTAAGAAAAAGTGATTTCCCCCAAAAGAGAATATCTGCTTAACTTAAAATCATTCAGATAATGTAAATGATCTCATCCTATGATTCTATAAGACACTTATTTTGCTGATTCTCATTATTTTTAGTTTTAGTTCAATCTAATCTTTTCTCAAGTAACAACACACGCTGTAGTGAACAATTCTAAATACATGGACTAATTTCCACATCCTTAGTTACATGTGAGTATGCTGCCTCACCTAAGTCATCAGAGGGCAGTGGCTACATTAAAATGTATAAACACATTCATTTTAAAAAATAACAAAAGCATCCCCCGCAGCTCAGCAATGCCGTATTTTAACACTGTTGACACTTGACTTTTCCTCCAGAAGGTAAACTTCATGGAAAGTATAACATTCAAGTTATACACATCTGACTGCAGAACGTACTGGAGAAAAAGAAAGCAGCAAGAGAGCTCCAAAGCAGGAAGAGGGGTGGAGTGTATCCAAAAGGGCACAGCTCCTAACAGCCTAGGGACTAATGGAGCCCTACTTCTCTAGTTGTGGTATTTAAAATATCACTCTGAATAAAGATTATCAGAGAAGATAAAAGCTAAATGCCACAAAGATATACAAAGACCCGGGCCTTCCCTGGGGGCACAATGGGTTAGGATACAGCACTGCAAGCAAGCCACAGCCGTTTAGGATACAGCACTGCAAGCAAGCCACAGCCGTTTCAGTGCCAGTTCAATCCCCGGTCCTGGAGCTGACCCACATGGCACGGCAGACCTCTCCTGACCTGCCCACTGCTTCCCTCAGCAGTGTACTTCATCGTGGGATATGCCTGTTCCACTCCTTACTCTGTCTCTGTCTCTGGAATCCTCTCACTCCCCTGCACCTCTGGCCTGTAACCCAGCTCTGTGTGAATAAATAAATAAATCTTAAAAAAAAAAAAAAGATGTACAAAGAACTAATGAAACTCAACAAAAATAAATAACCCCATCAAAAAATGGGCAGAAGAGCTTAAAAAAAAAAAAAAAAAAAAAAAAACCAAACCAAAAAAGCAAAAGATAAAAAAAAAAAAAAAAAAAAAAAAAAACACTTCTCCAAAGAGGAAATGCAGATGGCTGAGAAGTATATGAAAAAATGTTCAACATCACCTGTAATATGAGTATGCAAATTAAAACCACAGTGAGATACCACCTCACACCAATGAGAATGGCACATCTTAAAAACAACTAGCAACAACAATGTTGGTGAGGATGTGGAGAAAAAGAACTCTCCTGCACTGCTGGTGGGATTGCAAACTAGTACAACCACTATGGAAAACTGTATCTGGAGATCTCTCAAACTGCTAAAAATGGAGCTTCCCTACAACCCAGCAATCCCACTCCTAGGTATCTACCCAAAAGACACAAAAACACTGATTCAAAAAGACATTTGCACCCCCATGTTTATTGCTGCTTTATTTACAACAGGAAATACATGGAATCAACCCAAATGCCTAAAAGTAGATGACTGGATTAAAAAGATGTGGTATACATATATAATGGAATATTACTCGGCAACCAAAAAGATAAACTCATGCCTTTTGCAGCAACATGGATGGAGCTGGGAGGGATCATGCTTAGTGAAATAAGCCAGAAAGAAAAGGGAAAATACCAGATGGTTTCACTCATAGCAGGCGTATAAAGGACCAGGGGAGAAAATAATAATAATAATGAACAACTATATACCAGAGACATTTTATGGGGGTGGAGCAGGGCATGGGATCAAAAACGGGGGGCGGGGGAATGCACTGGACTATGTTAATGGCACATGGGTGATCTGGTGATGGGAAGTCCAAGGGGATTACAACTGAGGTGGAAAAGGGCAAGAAATGATGTAAAAATAAATTATAATATTATTTTTAAAAAGTTAAATGCTGTTTCAGGCACAGCAGGATGTATATTTCTTCTCTGGCAGAAAATTCATTTCTAACAAAACACTGTATATAGAAACCACTCCAAGTACAGAAAGCAGTAAACTCCTAAAACTCTGGTCTGATTCCAAAAGAAAGAATGAAGCAGTATCAGAGTCCACACTGAGGAGCCAAATTGACTTTCCACTAGTATTGTCTAGTTACAGGGGTATGAATGAAACCTGCAACAGAGCTCCCTGATGCAGTAAGTACTGTGTATCAGCTGCCTAAAGGGTGGTTTCATCTGGCTAAGTGTCTTCCAAAAATTCACCCAAGAGGTTGTGCCAGTTACCAGTTGGAAACAGAATGAAAGTGAGCAATGAAAATAAGGGGGGGAAGGCTGCGTTCCTGCAGGAATCAGTCCAGCAGCCCTGTTTAGGACCGTGGCCTCAGTGCCAGGCTGACTGAGAAGACAGAGATGCTCCAAGGAGCAAGTCTTGGAGAATAGGTGGTGGAGAGTGTTTGTAAACCTGGGGTACAAACACAGCCTGTGTTTCCACTCACCGAGTCCTCCTTTCCCATCCCTGCCCTGTTTCCTATCCCTGCCCTCCAATCTTTTTTTCTGGGCTCCGTCCCAAACACCTAGGTCTAAATATCCACACACCCTCTTCAATGAATTTTGAGTTCCCGGGTTCTTAAGCCTTCCTTACTTTCCCTAGAAGGCGCAAAGGTCCACCCACCCGGTATATCTCAGTACCTCCCCCAGGTCAAGACTGCTAAATCTGCCCCCAAATCAGGCCTTAATGATCTTCTCCCCTCGACCACTGCCACCTCCTCCGGTACCACCCCAAGTCTGTGTCCTCTTGTCCCGCGCCCCCTCATACCCTCATCTGGGGATTGGTACTTCCAGCCCCACTGCCCCAGGCCAGTAGGTACGCATCCAAGTGTGTACCTCTCCTTAGCGCTCAGTGTGGCTCCTCATGTTTTGCATTTCGTGCTCTTTCCTCCTCCTAGTCAATTCCTCAGTCCCTCTTCCCCCATTCCCTCGTTGCCTCCCCCTAGGGTACCCTCCCAGATCTCTGCCTTCACTTACTCGCCCCCATCGGGTCCGCTCCGCTCCCTCCTCCGCCTCACTTCCGCCCAGCCAGGTACCCCCTCCTCCCCTCACTCCCTTAGACGCCGGGTCTCGGCGCCCTCTCCGATACAGACTTCCTACCCAGCGCGGCTCAGTGTCCATGCCCCCGCGAGGCCCCAAGCGCCCTCCCACGTCAGGAACGCTTCCGCTCTCCCTGACTGACACACTTCGCGTCGCGGCCGTCCGGGTTCCGCGGCCATCTTAGCAGGGGCCGACCGCCCAGCCAGCGTTGGGCTCTGTTCCAACCAAGACGCCAACTCGCGGCTCCTCGCGACGGGGCATCCCCGGGGCAGGGGCCGGGGCCTGGCGCGCCAGCCGGGATGGAAGGGCCGGGCTCACGGCGCGGGGCCGTTACCTGTACTGCGGGCCGGCGCCCTGCGCAAAGCCGTAATAATTACTCGCCGCCATCTTGACGTCCTCACCAAGCGCTAGCGCACCCGAGGCGTGAAGGGGCGTGGCCGTCGGCGCGTGGCGTCACCGGACCGCGTGCTGCTCGCGCACAGCCACGCGCCCCAGGCTCCACCCTCCACGCGAAGCTCACACCTTCTCACGCCAGTGGGGGCGTGTCTACCTCAAGCCACACCCCTCTCAAGGCCAGCCCTTCCATGGGGCTCCGCCTTCCCTTCAACCACTTAGCTGGGGAACTCTCCGCTCAAGCCACGCCCTTCTTCGTACCCATCTTGCCAGTGGATGGCCGGTATCTGGGTCTCAGGCTCGCGCCGCTCACGCGTAGTTTCACCATCCTTTAACTGCTCTGCATCTGGAGTTTCAGGCTTGTGCGTTCGTCCTTTGCTGCAAGCCCCGCCCCTCATGTGGAGCCCCGCCCTCCCGTGAATCACTCAGAAGGGGGGGTCTCTGCTCGAGCCCCGCCCTTTTCCGGAAACTAGCCTTCTTTTAACCACTACTCATCTATGCCAGCCTCTGTCTTTCCTCCTCCCTTCCTTGTCCCTCCTCCCCAGGCCACGACCTAGAAGCGACCCTGGAGGTAGTTTGACTTTCTGTCCCATCTTAGAAGATGTAGGAATCCCATTGACTGCTTCTGACTGGTGGATGGACCTGTCAACTTGATCAAGTCCTACTTAATCCTTCAGCAATTCCCTTCAGTGTCAGCCTATTGATGAAGTCTTCGAAAGCCCTACTCAAACTTAAAGTTTGATAACTCTGATTTATTGTTTCTCCTCTGGAATGATTTGCATCCAGGAGACCTTAGGACATGTTTGGGGACATCTGTGGTTGTTATTTGGTAGCATTTGGTAGGTGACAGGGATGCTGCTCATCACCCCCACGCGTGCAAAACGGGAGACATAGAATGATTCAGCCCCAATGTTAGCTGTGCCCACATGGAGCTAGCAGTTAGTTACTTGAAATAAATAAATGTTCATCTGTCACCCAGGGGTGGAGGGTCCCTATCTATAAGGTTGTTTTCAGTACTCTATACCACCTCTTCAAAGCAGATGATACATATATTATCCCAAAAGAGCATCATTGGGGCCTCCCTGATGGCATGAGGGTTAAAATTAAATCTCAGCACTATCACCACTATGCTTGAGTTCAGTCCCAGCCAAGGAGTGACCCACATATGGTGCAGCAAACCTATTCTATCTCATCCACTGTTCCCTTCAGCAGTGTATTTCAGTAGATACAGCTGTTCTGCTCGCTGCTCTGTCTCTGTTGAATTCTCTCACAAACACACACCCACACCTCTGGCCCTACACCCCAGTTCTTATATGCATCAATAACTAAATAAAAATAAATCTTTTAAAAAGTTTTTTCTAAAGGCATCATTGGACATTTTGTGCACCATTAACTTTTGCTTTGTTATTTTTTTTTCAAATCAGATGTCTTTTTCGTTATGGAATATTCGTGAGAATTTAAGTTAAAGGTATATATGCTATCCAACAATGTGACTATCCATAACACTATTGAGCTGTACATTAAAACTAATTGAAGGCCCTCCCTGGTGGCGCAGCAGGTTAAAGTACTGCACTAAGAAGCTGAAACCACTTCCGCATGAGTTTGATTCCCGCCTGCCCCAGAGGTGACCACATGGTGGCAGACCTCTCCTGACCTGCCTGCTGCTCCCCTCAGCAGTGTACTTCGACGATCTGCCTGTTCTGCTCCCCACTCTGTCTCTGGTGAAGTCTTTAGCCACCCCTGAGTCCCTGGCCTGTAACCCAGTTCTGTATGCACAAATAAATAAGTCTTTAAAAAAAAAGAACTAATTAAAATGGTAAATTTTTTGTTTGCCTACTTAATCACAATTAGAAAACAAAATAAAAAACTTAAATCTCAACCAAAAAAATGGCAAAGACATGAACAGACATTCCATCAAAGAAAATACACAGGTGTTCAACATCATTAGCACAATAAGATAGCTACTCATCTTTCAGAATGATCAAAATAATGACAATATCAAATCCTGATGAAGATGTGGAAAGGAGAACATTCATTCCTGTCAAACATGGTACAGCCATTTCAGATAAATGTTAGGCAGTTTCTTCATAAACTATACATCCAGTTACCACATGACTCAACAATTGTACTCTTGGGTATTTATCCCAGAAAAATGGAAACTTACATTCATGCAAAAACCTGTACAGGAATGTTCATAGTAGCTTTCTGCAAACTGGTACAGGAGAGCAGTTATACAAACTGTGATCCATGGAATATTACTCAGCAAGAAGAAAGGAATAACACTTGATACCTGTGACAATGCAGATACATCTCTAGAGAACTGTGCTGAGTGGAAAGAACCAATGTCAAACTACTACATACTCTTATTGTTCCATTTGCATAAAATTATTGAATGACAAAATTATAGAAACAAAACTGTGATTTTCAGGGGTTAAAGACATAAGGAAAGAGAATGGAGTGTGGAAGTGTCCATAAAACGACAAGATGAGGGAGCCAGTGATGGAACTGTTCTGGATATATCTTGAATATATCAAGATCCATAATGATAAATCTATAAAATGTTATCCTATACTGTAAATGTTGTAATTTACCCTGTGATAACATGGAAGGGGAGGGAGCAGAGACAGTATCTCGAATCTCTTTGTGTGTGTGTTTCTTATTACAACCCATGTGAACCTACAATAATTTCAGAATTAATTTTTAAAAAGGACATTTACCAAACTTAGGGAGGGTGCTCTTTTGCCCTTTTATTTTAAAAAGGCATAAGGCTAATTAATTCTTGGACAGAAACCATGAAAATCTCAGAGTGCCAAGAGAAGTCACATAGGTGATTTAGTGGATGGCATTCTTCCATTTGTGTCTTCATGACCATGTGTGGCCACAAGGAACAATCTGGTGGGCCTGGCAAATGCAGCTCTCCCGCCATGCCCTGGCTAACATCCAGAATGGTAATTACCCATGGTCTCCCTCCAGTCCCCTGCAGCTTTAATTGGAGAATCAAGATCGCATGCTTTGAATAAAAGCAGGTCTGTTTAAATGTTTTCTCTGAATTGCAGACTTTTTACCTGTTATTTCCCACAAGCATTGTGCTAAATGCTTTACAAACATAATCTTACCTAGTCCTCACACTAGAAGCAGATAGTATTGCACCAAATAAAGTTTTGTTCAAAGACAGACTGCATATACTAAGTGGTCCCAATAGGCTATCATATAGAGATATAGAGCTATATCACTAAGTTTGTTTGTTCAACTATATGATGTTTGTTCAACTATAAAATCGCTTAAGATCACATTTCTTAGACTGTACCCCTATCACTAAATGACACATGACTGTACAGTCCATTCTCATTATCTGTGATAGTTCTGCCCTTGAAAATTGCCACAAACTCTGAAATAGCAAATACTGAATCATTGTTCCTAGGAGAGATAAAATCTTAAGTTCCTGTGAACCTCTGATCACATTATTTTCATCAAGTGACTAAAAAGTATCCTGTATTATATATATATTATTCAGAGACATCATAAGTATATTGTCAGTTCCTCCATACTGAATTCATGGTGACAACTTGTAATTGTTGTTATTTAGAACAGACCAAAATACTTTACATGCATTTTTTTAACCTTCTTATGACTAGAAACACTGGGTAGTACTTTTGTACCTTGTGTGATGATTAATCTAAATAATAGAACCACCAATATAAAGCATGACACCAAAAAAAGCTTTCTAAAATGACACTAAATGGGCTCTAAAGAGGACAGTTGTTTTACAGTCTGGTCTGGAATAAGAAGGAGAGTTACCTTCTTCAACTTTACTAGGAAAATGCACATCCAACGCCCAAGTTTTTCACCACTCTGATATCTGCAAATGACTCCAAAAAAAGACATAAATATTAATTTGGGGGGTTACACTTAAATTTCAGTGGGCAAATTTACGAATACAGAAACCATGAGATTGAGGGTTCTTGTATTAATCCCCTTTGCAAATTGGGAAAATGAGACTTAGCAGTTTCAATGTATCAACAAATTTCACTGAGAACTGACTGCATTTTTGTTATTCTTCTAGGGCATTTTCTCAACACCCCCGCCCCTGTTGTTATTTGGGGTCAGTTATTTCTCTATTATGGAAGACTTTCCTGTGCATTGCATAGTGTTGAGCAGCACGGATTCTACACACTGGATGTCAAGAGCACCCCTATATCCCAAGTCCTATTACCTAATAATGTCTCCAAGCATCACCAAATGTCCCTTCAGAGGCAGAATCCCACACAGGTGAGAGCTGCTGGACTAGGAATTAGAGCCACAGCAATGACAGAGTGCACATCTTTGTTCTCAAGAAGCTTATATTTGGAGGAAAGTGGGAAAAATAATGGGGAGTCACAGCTTAATGGGAAAAGAGTTTCCGTTTGGGAAGAGGAACAAGTTCTAGATATGGATGGTATTGGTGTTTGCACATCGTGAATGTAATGTCTGAATTTCACATTTACTCAAGTAATTTTCAAAATTACTTGAATGGAAATCTTTATGTTGTGGATGGGTGGATGGGTAGGTAGATAGCTGTGTTGGGGGGACAGATGGACCAAGGGACAGATGATTTTAACCACAATTTAAAATAAACCAGGCAAGTGCCAAGTTTGGGTGAACCGCTCCTGACAGTGGGCTCAGCACCACGGACAGCTCCCAGCAAGGTCTCCTTTGAGAGGGCCATTCTTCTACTGTCCCTCTGTGCACAAAGCTTCCTCCTGCTACTTCACCCAACTCCTACTTACAGCTCACGCCCTAATTCATATCGTCACCGCCCTCCAAACCACACCCCACCCCGCTCTGCCCCAGGAAATCTTTCCATTGATATTTCCAAGCTGTCTCTAAATCAGCCCAGACTCCTGTGCCCAAGTTTCCAGGAATGAGAATTCTATGAAAATGAAGTCTTATTCACCTTTCAGACCTCAGTGCCTAGATGGGGACTGGCTTGGATTTCCTGCTTAATCAACACAAGTTTTCTTCCCCAGGGTGCCCCCTCCTCCAGTCCGAAAGTGCAATGTGCCCCCACCCTCCTGCTATGGGGTAGATTGCCTTTATGTCTTTGACTTGGAGGAGCACAGACCCTGATGTGGTGAGTGAGGCAAGCACATGAGTAGTGTTTTTGATTACCCACAAAGGGAACCAGCCTCCGTACATTCTACCTCCACATTCTACCTCCACTTCCCGAAAGTCTCCTTTGTACCAGCTGCTCCCACCCCTGGGGAAAGATTACAATGAGCAAGACCAACCAAGCCTCATTTCTTTTGAAATGTATAACCTAGTAGGAGGTGAAAGAAGAAACAAAGAAATCAGTAAATACTTTCAAATAGAGTGAGTGTGATGAAAAAATTACATTTCTCATTAAATAAAATAATTATTGTGTGACCCAACAGTTCCACTCCCAGGTATATACTCAAGTGAATTGAAGGAAAGGATGAAATAAGTCCGTGTACATCTATGTGTATCGCAGATTCCGCCTGCCGCCTGCCCCGGAGGTGACCACATGGTGTGGCAGACCTCTCCTGACCCGCCCGCTGCTCCCCTCAGCAGTGGACTTCGTTGATCTGCCTGTTCTGCTCCCCACTCTGTCTCTGGTGAAGCCTCTCGCCTCCCCTGAGCCTCTGGCCTATACCCCAGTTCTGTATGCCCAAATAAATAAATCTTTTTTAAAAAAAAAAATAAAAGCAGCCCAAATGTATCCACTGATGAATGAATAAATACAATGTGCCATCCAGACACTGGAATGCCACTCAGCCATAAAAAGGAGACTCTGACACATGCTACAACATGGAGAGTCTTGAACACATGATGCCCCATGAATGAAGCCAGATACAACAGTCCACAGTGTGTGAGGCTAAAAAATCAACTTCCCAGGGCCAGAGAGTGGATTTGTGATTGTCAGGAGCTGGGGCAGGAACTTGGAGAGTGACTGCTAACATGTGGACAAAATTTTGATTTGGAAAGAGGAGAAAGTTCAGGAGATGGAGAGTGATGATGATTGCACAGCACTTAATGCCACTGCACTTTATACTTTTATATGGTTAAAATGGTAAAGTTTATGCTAAAATGTTCAAAATTGTATTTTAACATATTTTTTTAAAGATTTATTTATTTGTGCACATAGAACTGGGGTACAGGCCAGAGGAGCAGGGGTGGTGAGAGGCTTCACCAGAGAGAGTGGGGAGCAAAACAGGCAAATTGACGAAGTACACTGCTGAGGGGAGCAGCGGGCGGGTCAGGAGAGGTCTGCCGCGCCATGTGGTCACCTCCGGGGCAGGCAGGGATCGAACTCATGCGGAAGTGGCTTTAGCTTCTCAGTGCTGTGCTTTAACCCGCTGCACCACCAGGGAGGGCCCTATTTTAACATATTTTAAAAATCAGTGTGGGAAAAAGCAGATGTGACAGTGGGATGCCAGGTGATAGATGCCAGATAGAGATAAGGTAGAGAGTGCTGGGGAAAGTCTAACATCTAAAGACTGTGACTATCTGGGGAAGAGCATTCCTGATGGAGGGACTGACATAAGCAAAAGTCCTGTGGGAAGGAATCTTGATGTACTGACAGAACAGGTGAACACTGACCACCATGATTAAGAGGGACAGAAGAGAAAAATCGGCTCCATTCTACTTGAGTTATATATTAGTTTCCTGTCGCTCTTGCAATAAAACACTCAACCTTGGTGGCTCAAAACATTAGAAAGTTTCATCTCCTGCTTTTGAACACCAGAAGCCTGAAACCAGAGTACTGGCAGGGTTGGCTCCATCTGGGCTTTGAGCAAGAATTCACTTCATGCCTTTCTCCTGGCTTCTGGAGGTCACTGGCAGCCCTTGGTGCTCCTGGGGTTAAACATGCAGCACCCTGATCTCTGCCTCTGTCATCACTGGCCTTTCTGTCACGGGGACTAGGGCTCACCTTAAGTCAAGAATGATCTCATCTCCAGATCCTTAACTCAATTCCATCTGCACAGACCCCTTTTCCAAATGAGGTCATTCACAGATTGCAGGGATTCAGACAAAGGTCCCCTCCATCAGGAATGCTCTGTCCCCAGATATCAGTCTTTAGGTGTCAGACTTTCCCCGGAGCACCCCGACCTCACCTCTTACCTCTTACCACCTCATTGCCTCATTTGCTTTTTTCTCATATTTTTAAAAACTATGGTAAAATATAATTTTGAACATTTTAACTTACCTTCGGGGCAACTACCATTCAACCCCCTACAGGTCCAAACATAAAACCAGCCATAATGAGAACCAGGCATGGAGCCCTTCTCGTTCTCTGGCACTGAGCTAAGCAAGCTCCCGGCTTCACGTCCTGAGATGCTGAGCGACAGTCCCCTCCAGTTTCCATTTCAGATGAGGAAACTGAAGCCCAGCAGGAAAGCTCTTACCCCAGCAGGTCTGTCTCCCAGCTAGTGAGGGGTGGGGCCAATCCAGGTCCACTTATGGTCTGATTTCAGAGGGGCACGCTCAACCCTCTATCCCATCGCCCCTCTATCCCTGTCTCCCCAGTCTTCCCAGAAGAACCTCCACAGCGCGCTACTGCAAGGGGCGTCCCGGCTTCCCCCAGCCGGGTCCATGGCACGCGGTTCCGTCAGAGCGGCCAGCGGAGGGGCGCACGAAATGGGGTCCTGAAGACAGCGATGCCGGCTTCCCTTGGTGACTAAGGAATGAGGCCATCGCCGCCATTTATTTATGTATTTGTTCCTTGTTTTGTTTTTAAGTCGGTGATGCGCCATCAGGAAATCATTTCCGCTTCTGCCGCTGGTGAGGCTCTTGGAAATGGTTCTCTTCCAGCCAATGGAGAGGACGGGATTCTGGCAGGGGGCTGTGCTTTTTTGAGCAACCCTGCCCCCACTCAGCCACCCAGCACACAAAAGCTGCATAATTAACTGTCTTAAGGAAGACTCTGACAGCTGGGAGCTGGGAAAGAAGAAAATACCTCGGAGGCGCAGCGCCGGCGACGATGACAGGGGACGCAGCCTCCGCGGAGCGAGGAGGGGCCAGCCGCTGACTGCGAGCCGGTCCCCACCCCGGGAAGAGCGCCCGTCCGCGCCCGCCACATTGTCCTGGGTGACCTTCCATGGATGCCGACCCCCGCCCCGGCCCCCTACCGCGCACACCTTCCTCCTAAGCGCTGCAAGCCCCGGGACCGCGCTCCGAAAGGCTGGGAATGCCGGGCTTTGTTTGCGCCTAAGCAGGAGAGGCCACAGAGGTAACCCGGACTGGCCGCGGAGGTGAGTCCACCTTCCTTTCTCGAAGGTTGTCCCAGACATCAGATGCTGCCACCCCCTTTCCTGCGGATGGGGTGGGTGGGAACCGAAGAACCTGGGGCCTGCGACTCTTGGCTTGATAACATACCCCTCTCTCCCCATGCCAAGGAAGCCGATCCGCCAGCACACACACCCACCTTTTGCCTTCCATGTCCACCTGTCACCTGGAGGGCAAAGGACTGCACCATTTTCAGGACGTGCTTGGAGATGAGGCGGTGAACTCTCCGCCCCTCTCCTAAGAGGCTGAAATTCCCGTCCTGCCTCTGAGCCTTTCCTATTATAACAATGTGAGCAGATTTAGAGAAAAGATTTGATAAATGTATACATAATGCACATATGGAAGTGTGAAAATGTAACCCCAAAAGTTGTATAGATAGGTAAGTGACCGACAATTTAATTCTATGTATATATTAGTAATGTATGCAACAAGGATCAGGAAAAGGAAAGATGGTTGAAGACGGAGGCTCCCTCTGTCTGAACTCCTATTTGACAGGCTCAGAGCGCAGAGAAACACTTCTCTGCTGGCCCTTGTGCTTTTTCTCCATCCTGAAATGTGATGTCAGGATCAAATGGTGGGTGTAGATAGGATCCACTGGGGACCCACCCACACCCCACAATTAGCGGTTTGCGGGGCCAGTATCTCTGGCTCTGAAGGGTCCCCTGTGGGTGGGGGTGGGATCCTTTCTGGGAACTGAGTCACACCCAGCTTGGGGTAAGGAAAGCAGGCAAAGACCACTCCCTTCAGAGAGGAAATGAATTGCCCTCAAGTGGAACTTTCCCTTGCTTACAGTTCTGGATGGTTGCTGTTGTAGCATGAGGAAGGGAATTTTTTTTTTTCCGTACTGCGTCTCACTTTCCCTCCTCCTTGAATGAATGACGACATCAGGACAATGACTAGAACCAAGTGAGAAACTCTCACTCTAGTGGGGGGGGGTCACATTTTGGCTGTCCCTTCCCTCCTGCCTGGCCCTGGCCCGGAGCAGTTCCCTCTGGACTCTCCCTCCCTGATCCAAAATCCCAAATGCAGACCCCCGACAGTGGCTGTGTCTGTGAGGGGCTTCTAAGGACACACCCAAGCTGTGTGCCGAGAGTCAGCTCTGCAAGGGCAGCTGCACCTGCAAGGGAGATTGAGGGTCTGGGAACAGGGAACTCAGATGCTGGCAAGTAAGTGTAACAGCGCAAGTCTTGTCTAGAGGATGGAAGGATGGATCCTGGTGAAACAGGCGCTCAGTAATAATGGGTATACCTATGTCTACAGTCCTTGCAAACACAGGCAGATCAAAACAAGGTTTCTCAATCTCAAACCTATGGACATTTGAGCCTGAATCATTCTTGGGGGGCCTGTCCTAGGCACAGTGTCACTATAATCCCTGGCCTCTACCTACTTGAGGCCAATAGCACCCCCACCTCTAGCTGTAACAAACCAAAAAGCCTCCAAAATTTGTCAGTGTCCCCTGAGGGAGGGAGGGCAAAGTCATCCTCTGATTGAGAACCATTAGTCTAAAAATACAAAAAGTGGTGTTGACAGAGTCCTAAGATTTTGGAATGTTAAACCCAGAAGGTATCATAAAGGTCTCTCTTTTTTTTTTTTTTAAGATTTATTTATGCCTGCAAGAGCAGGGGTGTTGGCTGGAGGTGCGGGGTGGGGGGCGAGAGGACTCTCTGGAGACAAAATGGGGAACAGAACAGGCAAATGTACTGAAGTACACTGCCAAGGGGAGCAGTGGGCGAGACAGGAGAGGTCTGCTGCGCCCTGTGGGGCAGCTCCCTGGCAGGCTGGGGATCGAACTCGTGCTGCAGGGGCTGGCAATAGCTTCATAGTGCTGGGTCTTTAACTCCTGTGCCACAGAGAGACCCCCATACAGGTCATTTTTAGGCCACATTTTATTTACAGAGAAAGTGGTTGAGAGGGGTAAATGGCTTGGAAGTATGCTAGGCCTCAAGTACCCCAAATTTAGTCTCAGCCGTTCTGAATCTGTTCCCAGACATCTCGGTCTTAAACACCAGTTAGAGTGATGCCCCCAACCCTAGCCATCCTCTGAGCTGGCTCCTCAGAACAGTTAACATCAAACAGACATTTTGATTGGTAGTTACTGTGAACACAATGTCCATGCCCCATCTCTTTCAACATTGGCTTCACTAGTCCTAGGTTAGCAGGTTGTCAGGACTTGCTTCCTCATCGAGGGACAGAGGGACAGGGTAAGTGGCCTAGAACAGACAGAGTGGGTTGAGGCTGGCCAATTCCTGTTTGAAAATGTCAATTCCAACATGAAACTCCAGTATATCAGTCATTCAAACTTAGTATAAATGACTATTTAATTAATTGCTTCCCAGTTGAAGTCCAAGATAAGGGAGGCCTGATAAGCCCTTTCAGAGTTTCAAAGGGAGGGGACTCATCCCTGGAGGCTCAACTCTTCATTGGGCTCAAAGTCCAGGTCCATGTGGGTGCCCTCTGCCCCCACCCCATGTCTCTGTATCGCTATTTTTCCATCTTGTGAAATCAGGCAATGTTTCCATAGAATGATGAATTAGACTCTTGGTGGATGGAGCTGAAATGCTTTGTAGGAGTTTGAGTTGTCACTGTGATGATTTTCCAGTGAAACCTGTTACTCTCCTTCAGAGCCTATTCCTGCTTCAAGTCGGTCGCTTCTCCTGGCTCCCATGGGCACCACCGAAGCCACACTCCGGATGGAAAGTGTAGACGTGAAGGAAGAATGGCAGGATGAAGGTCTCCCCAGGTACGGCGGCTCAGGGCTCCATGCCAACACGGAGGGAGGGAGAGGCTGCTGCTTCCCTGAGCATGGGGTGTTGGCCCACCGCCAGATACCCACCAGGCACATAGTGAATAGCTGCTGAATTCTCTCAGATGAGAATTCCCCACTACCCCTACCCAAAGCACACAAAAACTCCATTCCAACACTATTTTATGTTTATTTATTTTTATGTGAATTTTTTTATTATAATAGTTTATTTTTACATCATTTTGTGCCTTTGCCCATCTCAGTTGTCATCCCCGTGGGCTTCCCATCACCAAGTCACCCGTGTGCCATCGCCATCGTCCCGTGCGCGCCCCCCCCATTTTGGATCCCATCCCCCACTGCAACCCGTAACATGTCTCTGGTATCTAGTCGTTCATTATTATTATTTCCCCCCACCCAGACCTTTATGCACCTGCTATGAGTGAAACCATCCAGTATTTTTCTTTTTCTTTCTGGCTTATCTCACAAAGCGTGATCCCTTCCAGCTTCATCCATGTTGCTGCAGAAGGCATGTTCCAACACTTTTTTTTTTAAGATTTATTTATATGCATACAAAAACTGGGGTACAGAGATGCAGGGAGGTAAGAGAGGATTCACCAGAGAGTGGGGAGCACAGCAGGCAGATCTACTGAAATACACTGCTGAGGGGAGAAGCCGGTGGGTCAGGAGAAGTTTCCCTAATTCTTTGGACAGTTATGTCTGTTCATCTCCCTCCCCCTTCAAAAGCAAAGAGTTTGCCCTCAGGAGATGACACCAAAGAATTAGCTCTATAACTATCTGGGAAAGAATTGTCAAAGGAACTGAGCACGTTCACCTGGAGGGAAAAAAAAAAAGACAATCTCTAGCTCCAGAAAATCTCAGTCAGTGAGGTCCCCAAGACGTAAAACTAGGCTGGTGAACAGGAACGAAAAGGACACGAACTCTGGTCTGATACAGAGCACACGCCCGGGGCATCCACACTTCAGGTTGGTCCAAGGCAGGTGGGCCGCTACGGAGACCTCTGGCAGTCAAGTCCAGATGAAGCTGCTATGTTGGGATGTCACTGCCTCATTTGAAGCCTTTAGCCCCCTCCTGAATCTACTGTCTTCAGCCTCTAAGTTTTTTTTTTAAACGATTTATTTATTTATGCATACACAACTGGGGTACAGGCCAGAGGTGCGGAACGTGAAAGGGTTCACCAGAGACAGAGTGGGGAATGTACTGAAGCACACTGCTGAGGGGAGCAGCGGGCGGGTCGGGAGAGGTCTGGGGCACCCTCTGGGTCACTCCCTCCTGGTGGGGGATCGCACTCATGCTACAGTGGCTGCAATAGCTTCACAGTGCTGAGACTTAACCTGTTGCGCCACCAGGAAGGACCCTTCAGTCTCTAAGTTAGCCAACACCACGTTAGCCAACACCACATAGCACCTTGGTCAATGACAGCCCGCAGAGATGAAGTGAGTCCCGTGGGCTGTGCCTTAGAGGCTGAACGTGTCGCAGGCTGGATAATCATATTCTATGATGCTGCCATAAAGACAAAATTGCCTGAGGACACATTCCTAGAACATGCCCCTGTTGTGAAGTGACTGTGCTTTGGTTCTTTATAGTGAGAGGGGTCCTTTTGCAGAAGAGCCAAGAATCTCTTATGTCCACTTCCATTGTCCACAGGAGTTTGTCCTCATGAAAACAGGTGTTTGGGGGGAAAAGATGGCTTCAACCTCATGTCCTCTTGCTTTGAAATTCTCCCCTTCCAGCTGTAATCCTTCCCATACACCCTTCTCTTTAACTCAGTTACAAGAAGTGCCAAGAAGTGCTGATGTGTGCATGCGTATAAGGGTCTCCTGAGTCCTACACTTGGCAGCTTGGATAAATTAAGGATTTTTTTTTTTTTTTTTGCAATGAACTCTTGTCAGGAATCTTGTGGAATGTGCAAAACTGGTTTTTACAGTGGTCACAGCTCCTAACACGGAAGGTTTGTTTCATCCCATACAGAAAGCATCTCTCCATGGGTTTCTTCCAGCAGCACCAAATGCCTGGGGCTGGAAGGGGTCTCTGCCCAGTCTCTGCCTCACTTGCCATCTGATCCCACAAATTCAGCCTCTGCTGAGCCCAAAGCAACCTTGGACTTGGACCTGGAGAAACTTCTGATTCAACTTCATCTCTCCAGGCAGCAGCAAACCCCAACTCACCCTAAATATGAGAAATTATCTTGTGACTCAGCACAGTGTTCACTTTCCTGCTCTAATTTTGTTTCAGCAGCACAACACAAGCAAAGAGGTCTGAGCTTGGGACGTGGAAGGCTGTGGTTTCAGAACGCAGTTGTCCGACATTCTTGCTCAGTCGCCTGGCTGAGCAACAATTTTGTCGCTATTCCCATATGTAAACTAAGAACAATAGCCCCTCCCCCACGGAGCTGAGAATTTGAGGAGACCTGTGGAGGGCGATGGGCCTTGGAGACAATAAGGGCTGTCCAAGTACCTTAGCTTGAATCTTGTTCACCCCAGTTCCTTTTTTCTACTCCCTCCATGTTTTAAAAGCTACCCTCCTTTTCCCAGACTTTATGAGACAAAAATGGGGCTGAAGACAGCTGCAAGTGTGAATTTCTCCCAGCCGCAGAGGGGGCCTTTCCCTTTTCAGTAGGCCAGTGTCTGTACTATAGAGGTCTGGCTGTAGGGCCAAGTCAGGATGCGTGCTTTTGCCAAGACTTCTGTCTTCCTCGTTCTGGGCGAATGAGTGCAGCTCCTTGATGCAGGGTCCAGCTGCATCTCAACATAAGCACCTCTGTCTAGTGCAACACAGCCTACAATTCTATTCCTTCTAGTTCAATGGTCCCTTCTCTGTCTCCATGCCTCTCCAGGGGTGGCAGAGAGCTTGTTCTGTGCCCACAGACGCCCCCTCCTTCCATTAACTTCAGCTACTTCCTTTGCCTCGTGCCCTCCTGTGGACTCCTGGGGAGCCAGAGGGCAGCCTGGAGATTATCTAGCTCACTGCCTTGTTTTCTCCATTCATTCATCCTAATGATCCGACTCAACTATATACCAGATCGTTTCTGCTTGTCTCTTTGGCTATCTTCATCTTCTTAGGCTGCCACAACAGAATCCTAGACACTGAGCAGCTTGAATAATAAATATTTATTCTCTCAAAGTTCTGCATCTCCATAGCCTAAGATGAAGGTGTCAGCAGTGTGGGTTCCTGGGGTGAGAGCTGTGTCTGGCACGTAGATGGCCATCTTCTCACTGTGTCCTTGAGTGGACTTTCCTCTGTGCTTGCTTATAGAGAGATCTCATTTCTCTCCCTCTTCTTGTAAGGCCACAGCCCTATGGGGTCCAGGGCTCACCTTACCACCTCATTTAGCCTTCACTATCTCCTGTATACTCTGCTTCCAAAAACAAACTGAGGGAAATACTTCCATATATGAATTTTGGTGGGGTTGAGGATGGGTAAAACGTATCAGTCCCTAACATCCTTTTTTTTTTTTTAGCATTTATCATGTTTTTATTAGGATTTCTCTGGCAATTGAATTATGTTTTTTTTATTACAAAGTTTATTTTTACATCATTTTGCACATTTTTTTTCCATCTCGATTGTAATCCCCGCAGGTTTCCCATCACCAAATCACCCCTGTGCCACCACCATAGTCCCGTGCATTTCCCTCCCTTCCCCCCCCCATTTTTGATCCCATTCCCCACTCCGCCCCCACAGAATGTCTCTGGTATATGGTTGTTCATTATTTTTGTTATTTTCTCTCCTGGTCCATTATACTCCTGCTATGAGTGAAACCATCCGGTATTTTTCTTTCTCTTTCTGGCTTATCTCACTAAGCATGATCTTTTCCAGCTCCATCCAAGTTGCTGCAAAAGACATGTGTTTCTCTTTTTTGGTTGCTGAGTAATATTCCATTGTATATATGTACCACATCTTTCTAATCCAGTCATCTACTTTTGGGCATTTGGGCTGCTTCCATGTTTTTCCAATTGTAAATATAGCAGCAATAAACATGGGGGTACAAGTATCTTTTTCAATCAGTGTTTTTGTGTCTTTTGGATAGATACCTAGGAGTGGGACTGCTGGGTCGTAGGGAAGCTCCATGTTTAGCAGCTTGAGGAACCTCCAGACAGTTTTCCATAGTGGTTGTACTAGTTTGCATTCCCACCAGCAGTGCAGGAGAGTTCCTTTTTCTCCACATCCTCGCCAACAATTGTTGTTGCTAGTCCTAACATCCTTTTTTACTAAGACTGAGCAAGACCTCTTGGAGCAGAGATTGGTGCTACTGTCCATGGTCCTGAACACTATCCCAGCCCTTCTAACCCAGTCAAGAATCAACATAACAAGATAAGTAGACAGAGGTAATTACAGGGAAATAAAAATTAATGGGAATAAAAAGTGCAGATTTGTCTCAGCCTCTAAAACCACCAACTTGCCAATAATTTTTTTAATGCTTCTCAGAAGTTCCTTCTCTGACCCCCTTGGCTTAACTCTTTGGACATCCTATTACTGAACTTCAACACTGTTGGCCCAGTCTAGAAAATATCTTGGCTGTTGCCATGCACCAGAAGTGGGCTCAGTCAAACAGAAACAGGCTGGGTAGCCCCAGAGAAGAGACCAAGGCTGTGCTGCCCACACTTAATTCACTTGGAGGCTTAATGCCCTTGACACCTGGAGCACAGGTTGGGGGCACAGAGGGCATAGTCCAAGACGCTGAGGCCCACAGCTCACTTCCAATGCACTTTTGCACAATACAAGTAATAAGTCAGAGGCTAGAATAAGAGAGTAGGATTGGGCACAGGAGCTGCTTACGAAGCCAGAAGATGGCAGATGTGAACCACATTTACCAAATACCTTCAAGGCAATTCCTGGACTTTGTATGACCCAGTAGCTGGGCACCAGAACCTGACCCAGTTGGCATTAAACCGACTTTCTTCTCCCAGCTGTGACCCTGCCCCTACCCACATACCTAGATATACAGCTGACCCTCGAACAACAGGGGCTCAAACTGAAGAGCCATTTATCTGGGATTTTTTTTTTTTCAATAAATACAGTTGACTCTCTGCATCTGAGGGTTGGGTGTGTGTGGATTCAACCCACTGCCATCTGACATCCACACTGGTTGATTTCTTGATTGAGAGAGAAACCCACCACTATGGAAAGTCAGCTATAAGATACTTGATTTTCTGTGGATTTGGGCATTCATGTTGGGGGGAGGGACCCTGAAACCAACCCTCCGTGGATTCTAAGAGAAGACTATTGTTAAGTTTTGGGAGAGTGAAACTTTATAGGGAGATTTTAGCCTTCAGAGGGGTCATAGCCCTTCATGCCCCTCATTTGTTCAAGGGTCAACTGTATTTACTAAGTGGATGAAAAGCACTGACACTGACTGTCTTACTGATGAGGGAAACTGAGGCCCAGAGAGAGAAGCGTACCGCAGATGCAGAGCGCTGAGCGTTTCAGGGCTGGGCTGTCGGGCTCTCCCCGGCCTCTACACAGCTTCTCTCACCATCCTCAGCTTCCCACTCTGGTATTTCCTGCAACCAGGTAGCAGCTATGTGATGGTCCAGGGAGAGCAGCCAAGTCACATCCTGATGAGAACAGAAGACAGTGTGGCCACAAGTTTTCCTCTCAGAGCGACAGTGATGGGACAGGGCACCAAATGGCCCCTGGCTGCTGGGGGTGGGCTCCCCCCCCCACCCCGTGTCCCCACAGAGGTGACGCGCGGTCTGGTGGGGCACTAGGGGGCAGTAGAGGGCAGCACCTGGAGGCAGCTCCTCCCCTGAGCGGGTCAAGCCCTTTGGGCACCTCTCTAGCCCAGCTCCACTTCTGCAGCCAGGGGCGCCCTGCATGGTGGCCGGCAGGAGCCAGTAAGGCCATGCTGTGAACATTCCAGCCTGGCGCACAGTGCGTGCCCTGTCGGTGGGGTAAATTGAGACTTTCGCTGATTCTGGGACAACAGGAATTGCAGACTCTGCGTGAGGGGGCAGGCAGATAACTGAGAAATCAGGGAGAAATTCAGACGCTCAGACACAGGGAGCAGCGGGTAGCGAAGGGCAGATCCGATTCCAAAAATGGAGGAAGCCTCCATTTTTGGTGTCATAGCTCTGATTTGACAGCAAATTTTAAATATTTTTAAATGCTGTGTGTGGGCAGGAGAAAACCAGGGCAGGGCTGCGACAGTCAGTCTTGAAGTTTTGGGCAAGCTTTCAGGTGGCAGTGTGCTTCCTATTTTTGGGGACCCTGGGCTGTATTCAGAAGCCACTAGCTGCCCCCCCACCCATGCATGCTGAGGGGAGGGTGCGCCCACACGTGGTAGTGAGTGTCAGAGCCGCCCCCCTTTTCATGGCCGAGTGATGGCTGCAGTTGAGGGGATGGATGCCTGAGCCTCCATTCACCCACATTGGACATCTGGGCTTTTTGCACTTCCGGGCTCTTCTGAATCATGACGCGCCGAACACTGACAAGGGTGTGTCTGCGCACATGGTCTTCACTCCCTTCAGACCTCTGTTCTGTTTTGGCCTTTGACCTCCATGAGAGGAGGATGGTGTCCCACCAGTGCACCGGGGAGGAAGTGGTTACCCGAAGATCCCCAGGTGCATGGTGATGGGAGGAACGTTGGGGGAGGGAAAGGAAGAAGCACAGTTAGATTTCACCCAGAAAATCTGCCACTTGGCGTCAAAGGAAGAGCAGAGGCAAGGGAATAAATCGTTTTGAAAAGGAAAGGAGGGCATTCTCCTGTCCTTCCCGCGCGACAGCTCCCCTTTCAGACACTTTCAGTCCCTTCCCAGCTTTGCCTTGAGCTGCACAGTACTGCTGAGTAGCAGAGTTGCAGAGATGAATTAACTGAGCTTCCTGAGTCCGCCCGACCTGAGGCTGGAGCCTCTGAAAGCCACTCAGCCTCTCGAAAAGGTTCTGCCTGCAATTGAATACTTCCCCGGAGAGCAAAGCATCCAGAGCTTGGGTCAAACTCTGGGCAGCGTGAGCTGTTGCTCCAAAAAGCAGCCCAGTGATTGCCAGAGAAACAAATCTTGTTTGGGGTTCCATGCAGAGCCAAGTTTTAAGGGGCACAAATCCATAGTTGCCTGCATTTCATAAAGGGAAATATAAACATTTTAGATTTACAGGAACATTGCGGGACTACTACAGGAAGTTTCTGTATACTACCTCCCTCCCCTTGCCCAGCTTCTTCTAGGAGTGAAGGCTGGTAGATTCGTCTCAGCTTACGAGCCAATACTGATAGATTCTCATTCACTGGCATCTGCCATGGATGCTGACGCCTGTGGTTTCCTCCTACCCGCCTTTCTCTGCCCAGGTCCCGGTCTGAGTTCCCACATGACATTTGCTCCTCACTCTCCTTAGGCAACTCTTGGACAGTTTCTCAGAATTTCCTTGGTTTTGATGACCTTGCCAATTTTGGGAGAGCTGGGCAGGGATTTTGTTGCATACCCTCAACTGGGGCTTGTGAGCTGTTCTCTCGTAGTTAGACTGGGGTGAGGGTCCTTCTCAGCTCATGGTAACAGGGTGACTGCTACCCCCACAGCTCCTCACTGCTGACCTTGGTCACCTGGCCGACGTATGTGGCCAGATCACCCCTCTGTAAAGTCGCTCTTTGCCCTCTTCTTGCTGCCTTTGGAAGGAAGTCACTCTGTATCACCCACACTTAAGAAGTCACGCTCCGTCTCTTGGAGGACTGAGTACATGTTATTTGGACGTGTATATGGGAAAGTCATCTCTTCTCCCCTATTGTTTATTTAATCATTCGTTAATGTCCTCATGGACCCACGGGTGCTAATCTTATACTGTGGCTTACAGTTCCATATGCCGTTACTTACTTTGCTGCACAAGCTGAGCCAACAGTAGCCATAGAGAGCAACTTCCGGCGACTGTGTGCACTTGACGTACTTCTTGCTGTCCTAGTAGCCATACCCATCAAAGGCCGAGTCCTACAGGGCCAGGATGATGCTACTCAGATCCCCATGTGCTCAAGCATATGCTGGACAACATTCGCACCCTCTCTGGATTTCAGCTTTCCCCACTCGAAAAGAACAGAAAGGCTTATTTACTGGACAGTGAAGGAGGCCTCTAGCACTAGTGTTTTATGATTTTCTGTGCTAAGAAACAAGTGTGCTTTGGTCCAAAGATTCCCCAGAACTAAACAGATTTTGTTGTTATTGTTTTGTCTAACCCCACACCTCTGGGACTGGATTTGGGGTACCTGGTGGCTGATGTCCACTCCCGGCTGGATCTGCAGGCCCCTCCCAGAAGACACAGGGATGGACACGCTTGGTAGCCCTGCAGAAGACACATCCTGTAAGTCTGCCCATGCGTGAAATGGGAGCGCTGCTTCTGGGTTCTGCCCAGGGCTGTAGTTGCAGAAGTGTCAGAGGTGACACTCCGGGTGAGTGTCAGGGAAGAGGGCTGCTCTGCTCTGAGGCCTGCAGGAACAACAGGCTTGTGCCTGAGGCAAGCAGGAGCAGGGGTGATGCCAGCACCACGCTGCTGTGTGTCCCTGAGCTGCCTGCTCACCCTCTCTGTGCTATCAAAGCCTCACCTACTACTGATAGGTAGTGAGCATCCTCCAGGGGGCTTGGAAGAATTAACCAGGCGATACCAGTAAACTCCTCAGGGGTGCCAGGTGTAAAGTCAGTCCTGGGGGAGTTCTGCTGTCCACTAGCCTGTCCAAGAAAGAAATCCAAAAGAAAAAATAATAGAAACTAAGAATCTGGTCTGTTTCATTATGGATGAATGAATATCTCCATTCTACAAGCAGGAACAAGATGGCCCTGCAGCGTTATTTATTTTGTCCTCACTGCCCAAGGCATGAAGCCAGGGTGAGTCCCTAAGGTCTCTGGGAGATCAGCCCCTCGCCCTAGAACGGATCTGGGGCCGGATGATGGTTTTCCTCCAATGTAAGTGGACTATGTTCCAACTAGTTGTCTGACGGACTTGAACCCCTAGAAGATACCCCATCTCTCCCAGGGAGGCTAGCGGCAAGCCAAGAGTCTTTAGCAGAAATCTGTCCAGTCCTGGAGAACAGCCACCAGCTGAGTGACCTGGAAGGCCCTCATCCCTCGGTGCTCAGTTTGCTCGTCAAGTAAATGGGAACGAACATAGAACTCATCTCGTAGGCTAAAGCATAAAAATGCCCTGGGAGAGCTTCGCAGCATGTTTGGCCATCGGTGCGTGATCGATAAATGTTAGTTATTAAAGAGCCCAACATCAGAGAAAGGTAAAAAAAAGAATGTGGCATTTTCTGCCGGTCATATTCAAAGGTCACAGCAATCCACTATGGATGAGTCTAGAGCCTGGTAGGGCCTCACAGGAGCCCCCACCTCCTGTGAACCCCATTTTGCAAGCGTTGAAAGCAAGTCAAACTCGGAACAGTGAGGTCCCAGAGCTCCAGGGTCACCAGCCCAGGGGCAGCAGGCTCAGCACTGAACCCCAGCCTGCGCCATGTCCAAGTGTCCCTGTCCTTGATGTCCACGGCAGGGTGGTGACCGCGTGAGCTGCTCTGTGACAGGGTGGCCTGAGGCTTGAGAATGTGCTGGACGCCACAGGCGGGGATGGGGATCTCCGGGAGGCACAAGAAAGGCCGAGCAGTGGGGCTCTGTTTGTCCTCCCGCAGCCCCTCCCAGCACGCTGAACTTCAACGGGGCGCATCGCAAGCGGAAGACTCTGGTCGCGCCCGAGATCAACATTTCCCTGGATCAGAGTGAGGGCTCTCTGCTGTCTGATGACTTCTTGGACACCCCCGATGACCTGGATATTAATGTGGACGACATTGAGACCCCTGATGAGACCGACTCACTGGAGTTCCTGGGCAACGGCAATGAGCTGGAGTGGGAAGGTGAGGCGGGGGCATCTCTGCCAGCGCTGCCCAGGCCCCCAATCCAGCCCCAGTCCTTCCTTGGGCTCCTGGACTAGCTTACTGGAGCCATCCACCCAAGTCCACAGCTTGGAGGGGCTGGGGTCTCACTCAGGGTTAGGGCTGGGGTGTGGGGCTGGGATCTCACTCAGGGCTCGAGGGCCTGGGGGTCTCACTCAGGGCTGGGGGCTGGGGTCTCACTCAGGGCTAGGGGGCTGGGGTCTCACTCAGGGCTCAGGGAGCAGCCTGAGTGATTTCTGCCCCTCTGACTTTATGCACATTTCTCTAGTGGGTTTCTGGGGCAACGGTTTTCATCTGATTCTCAAAAGTAACCAAGATCAAAACAATGACTCAGCAACTGATTCAGTGCGTATTTGTAGACTATATATGCAGGAGCTGGGATTGGCTGGGATTCGGGGGCCAGGGGGCACTGTGTCAGGGATGCATGTACCTGCCACACGCACAGAGACAGGTGCCCCCGGGAACTGTGTGCAAGGGAATTGCAGCTGGTCATCGGGGAACTGGGATGAAGTGGTGGCATAGACGGGGGGTGGGGGTGGGGGGTCTCAGTGAGGGGGACTTCTGTCCCAGGGGACACTGGGCGGGGTCTCAGGACACCTGTGGAGGTTACGATTGTGTGGGAGGGGCTCAAGATCCTACCCAACACCTCACAGCAACCAACATAGCCATCAGGGAGATGCCCTGTGTTATTGGGGATCAGGGACTATTAGATGCCTGCTCACACCAGACAGCAGAATAAATCCCGATGGGTCAGATGTGGTACAAACCAAGTGGGCCCTCCCAGCCTCTGGGATCTCCTCCTCTCTGCCTCTGACTCAGTGTGGATATTTAAATGTGTGCAGCCCCCAAGACATCAGGAGGGCAGATAAGGATGGAACAGAGTCTCCTGGGTTATCAGAACACAGGGTCTCCCTGGGGTGATTCTCCCTCCAGGGCCACTGGATGTTGGCTGGAGACACCTGTGATTGTCACAACTGGGGTGCACCTGGCATGGAGTGGGTCAACCAGAGGTGCACCCCCCAAAAAATAACCCAGCCTCAAATGTCCACAAAACCAAGGGGGAGAACACAAGCGAGGCAACTGTGGGGTGGTTTGAGGGGTGGACCGGTTTCACTGGGTGGGGTTACTTGAGCTGATGCCCTAAAGCAAGAACATGGGAAAGACACCCAGAGTATGGGGAGCTGAGCAGACCAGACTCGGGGCCAGCAGGAGGCCGCCTGATCACCCAGGGCTCAGGAGGCTCCTTCCAAGAGTTTGGCTTTTATTCCCAACTTACTGGAAACTTGCAGCAGGGTGGACCCGTGTGTCTCCAATCTATGTTTGGAAATGTTCTCGCAGGGATGGGAGAATGGGGGGTGGGCTGATGGGGGGACAGGGTTCGAGCAGAAGGGAGACCCAAGAGAAGGGTGGGTGGATGTCACCACAGAACACGGTAGTGCCAGGGGGTGGCACAGCCCCACAGCACTGGCTGGGGGGATGTAGGTGGGAAGTGGATGACTGACACCCGGCTCAGGGCCTGAGCAGCTAGCAATGCAGGGAGCTATTTCCTGAGGCGGGAAGATCTTGGTGAAAGCTGAGAAAGGTGGCTATTTTAAGAGCGGTGAATGCCCTGAGAAGCCCAGAGAGGCAAAGCATGTGTGCAAGGTCACACAGCAAGTCGTTCACAGAAAGAGGCTCTACCTAGGCCCTTGGCCTGACTTCTGCCCCAAACACTGGCCTGTATCTCCCAGTTGAGGGGGAAGCTTTTGTTCGGACACCGTTTTTGATTCCCAAGCCCACATTTCTCAGTCGCCCCAGTCTGCCCGCCACACATAGGGAGGGAGCGTTTGTGCCTGTGAGCCGGACTCAGCGGTCCAGGCTGCTAAGTGGAGGGAGAGAGACGAGTCTGGGCCGCGGTGCCCAGACTCAGGCTTCCGCCCCGCTCACCCCGGCTTCCAGACGACACCCCGGTGGCCGCGGCCAAGAACATGCCTGGGGACAGCGCGGATCTGTTTGGGGACGGCGCGGCGGAAGAGGGCGGGGCCACCAACGGGCGCCTGTGGCGGACGGTGATCATCGGGGAACAAGAGCATCGCATTGACCTGCGCATGATCCGGCCCTACATGAGGGTGGTGACCCACGGAGGTGAGTCGCGCCCTGCCCCCCTCTGCCTCTGCTGGGCAACCTGGTCAGTGGCCCCTTCGTCTGCGTCGCAGGGAAGCCCCGTCTCTGGATGGGCAGGGGGGAACTTGCCTGGAGTGCGGCGTAGACCTGCACCGGAGGTGTCTCCGCAGATGGTCCCGCCAGGGCAGACACAGGCCGGGGGTTGCGACTCCCCGAGCTGGTCAGCTGTGACTCCAAACTGTACCTTTGAACATGGGCAATGAGAAGGGCCGGCTGGCTGTGAGGTGGATGCCTGGGCTATGCCTGGGGTGACCCCGACCGGCTGGGAGCTCAGAGGAGGGGCTGCCCAGTCCGCCTGGGTCACTCACTGGCCGCCTCTCCCCAGGGTACTACGGTGAGGGTCTCAACGCCATCATTGTCTTCGCTGCCTGCTTCCTTCCGGACAGCAGCTCCCCCGACTACCACTACATCATGGAGAATCTCTTCCTGTAAGTGCCCCCCTGCCCTCCCGCTGGCACTTCTGAGGGTCCCAGATGGTGGGTGTGGCCTCAGCCTCACCCCAGGGAAAGGCCGGGACTGCTGGTCAGCCCTGACCGGAGTCCCCTGCTTGCCGTCTGGACCTCACTGGGACCGTCAGCGGCAACATCGTCATTACCATCACTCATTTGTGGAGCATTTATGTGGCTGCACGAGGGCTTCCTGAGTGGGGGGTGGTCCCCCCCTCCACAGCCCTGTGAGGTAGGTGTCTCCCACTCTAGGGCGCAGAACCTGAGGTACAGAGAGGGTGAGACACTTGCCCTCTGGCATAGTTTTGTTATGCTGGAGGCACTTAAGCTCCTGACAGGTAACCAGAGAGTGCTCAGTCACTCATTGACTGATACTATGAGTCATTGTTACTCATAGTATCATTATTTTGAGGATTTCCAACCTGCAGAGCAGGACAAAGGGTGAGCAGGAACCCGTGGAAGGTCAGACGGGGAAGTGGCCTGGGATACCAGGGAGTCCTGAGCAGGCCCCCCAACTTAAAGATGGATAGAAGCCGAGCGGAAAAGGCTTTCCAGAATCTATTCAGGAAGAGGTGGGGTGAGGGCAGACTCCGGGCTGTGTGTGGTGAGCGCCCACTGTCCAGCTGTTTCTGGGGCTGTGGAGCTCAGGGCTATCAGAGAAAGCAAACGTCGTCACAGATCTAGTGCACTTGGCATTCATTAAGTGCTCAATAGAATAGTAGCTCCTACTGTTATTACGTGCATTGATGCACATTCGGAGTAGACTGGGGTCATCCACACTCACACACACACACACACACACTCACACACACCGTCGAGTGTGCCAGGATAGAAGCAACACCTGAACAGGTATGACTGGCACAGCCAGAAGTGAGAGCGCAGATGTTCACTCTCACTCTCATCCACTGGCACCACCTACGTCTGGGCCCCCCGTGACGGCCCTGTTTCTGTGCCCCGTGACCAGGTATGTCATCAGCAGCTTGGAACTCCTGGTGGCCGAGGACTATATGATCGTGTACCTGAACGGTGCGACCCCCCGGCGGAAGATGCCCGGCATTGGGTGGCTCAAGAAGTGTTACCAGATGATTGACAGGAGGTGAGTGGGTGGGGCTGGGGCGCCCTCTGGGACCAAGGAATCCCAGGTCTGAGGTCCCTCTGAAAGGTTGTGCACTAATTCGGTGGCTGTAGCTGGGCGGCCCGACCAGACCTACAAGGCTTTATCCTAACTCTTCTGGGGTGGAGCCCTGACTTCTGAGTCCTTCCCAGCCCCTCTATTGCTCTGCAGCCTCTGGCTACTTCAGGAAAGGCAGGTAACCAAGTGGCCAAACCCAGACACAAAGCCACATCTGCCTCAAGACACCCCCAGTGGGGTCCTCCCCCCGCCTAGTCACAAAAAAGCAGAAGGCAACAGAGACCTTAAGCTTCAGAATGATTTTTTCACTCATGGTAAGATCCACATAGCACAAAAACTTACCACTTTCACCATGTTTAAGGACACATCTCAGTGACATTCAACACTCTCACACTGTCCTGCAGCCAGCCACACCCTCTCCAGAACTTTCTCAGCTTCCCAAATTGAAACTGCTCCACTAAACACTAATCCCCCACCATTCTCCCAGCCCCTGGCTCCCACCATCCCTGTCTCTGTGGCTGGCACCCCTCTAGCCTTCTATGAGTGGGTCACACAGTATGTGTCCTGTGGTGTCTGCCTTGTTTCACTGAGCTTCAGGTCCTCAGTCAAAGTTCATCCACATTGTGGTGTGTCGGAACTTCCTGTTTAAGGCTGCATAGTATTCCACCACATAGCTAACCTTCATTCATCCATTCATCTGTCAGTGGGCACTTGGGTTGTTTCCACTGCTTGACTACTGTGAATAGCCTCAAGATGAGGCATTTTAAACTCAAGCAGCTGATTCGTGCTTGCACCCCAGGTTAGCGGGCAGGGGCTTGGAGACAGAGCTAGACATGCCCGGGTATTCAGTGATGACGATACACAATTGGCTGCTCAGCTCCTGCGGGTCTGGCTGCTGGCTCTGCATCACAGAGCTCCTTCAACCCTGCTTCTTGGGGTCTCAGGGGATCACAGAGGTGTATTTTCATGCCCCCACAGACCCAACACCACAGTGGAGGTTGGGATCTCACAGGCAGGGCGACGTTGTGGATGGAACAAACGGCAAACCTGTGCTGCTCTCTGCTCTGTATTCTCTTGCCTGCCCTCCCATGCTCCTTGCTCCCCAAGGGTTCCCCCAGAGCCCGTCTGATTCCCTCTGCCTCCCCACACAGGTTGAGGAAAAATCTGAAGTCCTTAATCATCGTTCACCCGTCCTGGTTCATTCGCACTGTGCTGGCCATCTCCCGCCCTTTCATCAGGTGAGGTTGTGACCTGTGAGGCTACTTATGTATGACTACAAGAACTGGGGTGTAGGCCAGAGGTGTGGGGGTAGGAGGACTCACCAGAGACAAGGTACTGAAACACACTGCTGAGGGGGCAGCAGGGAGACAGGCGCGGTCTGCTGGGCCCTGGGGGTCCCTCCCTGGCCGGGGATGGAACTCACGCCTCACTGGCTGTTGATAGCTTCATGGTGCTGTGACATAACCCCTTGTGCCACCAGGGAGGCCTCCTTTTTTTTTTTTTTTTTTTTTCATTTGCACTTTCTAGATTCCCTCTGGTAAATATTACTGGTTTGAGAAATTTAAAGTTTGTATAGGCAGATACTGCATTTTCTACCAATTGAAGGTTTGTGCAAATGTGTCTGTACTTGTACTCACTTTGCTCTGCAGTTTTTAATTAAGGTATGTGCATTGGGGTTTTTAAAGATTATTTTAATTTATTTGTGCATATAATAACTGAGGTGCAGGCCAGAGGTGGGGGTGGGGTGAGAGGATTCACCAGGGAGCAGAACGGGTGGTTTGGCTGCTGAGGGGAGCAGTGGGCGAGACAGGAGAGGTCTGCTGTGCCATGGGGGTCCCTCCGTGGCTGGGGATCAAACTCATGCTGCAGTGGCTGCCGATAGCTTGATTAGACATAATGCTGCCTCACACTTACTAGAGTACAGTATAGTGCAAACATGACTCTTATATGGGCTGGGAAACCCCAGAATTTGCAACTCACTTTATTGGGGAGCCCTGAAACCCACCGGCAAGGTCCCTGAAATGTGCCTAGATTATTATTAAATGACGAAAGGAAAAATAACAACCACCAGCCCTCACATCCTGGATGCTGGATGCATTTTAACCAATTTCATGGATGAGAAAACTGAGGTTCAAAAAAGCCACAGGACTACACACGAGATTGCCACCCCCTCACCCTGCTAGGAGCAAGCCCAGTTTCTACCGCTCCAGAGCCGTGGTCCTTAGGACACCAGGGGACTGACCCACTCCAGGCCAATGATGCGAGAAACCAACCAAGTGTGTTTTGGGGAGTCCCCAAGACCACTTTCAGGTTGGAGGCTTCACCAAGAGGATCCACAAAACTCAGAAAGGTTGTTACTCTCATGGTTCCAGCAAGAGCGGCAGGTCCACCTGCGCCAGGCGCCGCGACTCCCGGTACAGCCCCCCCCCCACCCCAGCTCCTGCGCAGGCGCTCGTCCCTGCGGGCGGGGCTGCGGGGCTCCGCCGTGTTGTAGCGCCTGGGCGGGAGAGCGGCGTTCCAAGAACCCACCCGAACCCCACACACCTCGGCGACTGCCAGCCCCTTGGGGGCTCGTCATATGCACCGGCCAAACATCATTAACCACACAGGTCTGCACGAGCACCCACAGGAAGACAGATGGAGCAGAACTAGATGAGGCCTGTGGGCGCCCCAGGCAGCCCAGGAAACCGAGTGTGATGTCACTCAGCGTGATGTCATCCAGAGCGCTGCACTGAGTCAAGACCCTTCATTTCCACTTCCCCAACGGAATAATCTGGCTGGGTGAGTTTAAGAGCAAGTCAGACGGCACCCTGACATTTCGCCCTGCTCACTCGCAGCGTGGAGGCTGGCAGGGTGGGTGGTGGCTTCAGCTGTGCTCCACGGCTGGAAGCATCCAAAAGTACTTGCATATCAGAAAAAACAGGCTCTAACACTCCTTGGTGAACACTGGCCCAGAGCTGCCAGCGTCCTCGTGCATCTACCACGCGGAGTTAGCGTGCCTCGAGCGGAGATCGTTCTCTCCCTCCGGGTTTCTTTACCACAAATGTTGAGTAGGTTACTATGAGCTTTTAAAGAAAAGGGCAGGGGGTCAAGAGACGTCAGCTCACCCTCCCTGGTGGCGCAAAGTTAAAGCTCGGCACTAGGAAGCTACTGCAGCCACTTCGAGTTCGACCCCTGACCAGGGAGGGACCCCCAGGGTGCAGAAGACGGCTCCCGTCCCCCCGCTGCTCCCTCAGCAGTGTGTTTCGGCAGCTCCACCTGTCCTGCTCCCACTCTGTGTCTGATGAAGCCTCTCACCCCCCACACCTCTGGCCTGGACCCCAGTTCTGTGTGCAAAAATAAATACATCTTATATAAATAAATAACTGATAAAAAGAGGGGAAGAAGGGGGCCGGCTGGTGCTGACCTGAACCAATCCAGCCCTCAGGGGCCGTGAATGAAGAAAACACCTAGCTGTCCCCTGATGACCTACACGCTGGGAATGTGCGTCAGGCTGCAACTCTCCCTCCCGAGAGCCCCGTGGCACAGAGTCAGTGACTCTTTGTCCCCGATCACGGATTATTGGGGGGCAGAGAGACAGGGTCTCAAGGTGGGAGCGCGTCGGCGAGTGGTTGAAAAGCATCCTGGCAGGGACTCAGACCCAGGTCCCAGGAGGACGGAGAAACAGCCAGGAGTCTAGCAGCCTGTCTTGCCTCTCTCTTTCCTTTAAACAAGTTCCTCAGCTCATCAAGGACCCATATCTGATGCTTTTGGGGCTTGGGGACCCTTCTTGCAAGGCAAGACACCCCCAGTTCTGCTCTGGAGGTGCCGTGCGGTCCGTACGCAGTCACCCCTCGCTGAGAGGACACCTTCCGAGAAATGCATCACCAGGGGAGCCCACCACCGTGCCAAAGCCACGTGGTGGAATCGCAGCACTTGGGGGCACAGCCTGCTGCACCCCAAGGTGCAGGGTGTCAGGGCCATGGAGGGGCTTGCAGTGACATGTGACTGGCTGAGCTCGGGGCTGGCGTGGCCGGGGAGGGCAGGCTGGGGAGAGGCACCGAGGGGCCTGGAATAGGGGTGCGTGGACGTCCCCTGTGCTCTGGCTCCTCCAGCCCCGGGCAGCCAAGCCAGGGCTGGACCCAGACACTCCCCTTCTCCTCCTGCCAGTGTCAAGTTCATCAACAAGATCCAGTACGTGCACAGCCTGGAGGACCTGGAGCAGCTCATCCCCATGGAGCACGTGCAGATCCCAGACTGCGTGCTGCAGTGAGTCTCTGCGCCCGCGCCGCCCCCACAGCCCGGCCGCGGGCCACAGACCCACACCTGCAGCCCCTCAGGCCACCCGGAACTTGAGGACAGCAGCTGTGTTTCCTGCTATTTGCACGAAGCACTTCATCACAAACACCTCCCCGTTGTTGTCTGCGGGAGAAATGTGTCCTCGCTTTTTTACTTTTTCTTTTAGGTCGCAGTAAAATAAATAATCTAAATGTTCCGCCCCACCATCCTTAAGTGCACAGCTCAGTGGCATCAGGCACTCACATTCTTGTACAACCGTCCCCACCCTCCAGCTCCAAAACCTTCTCAACGTCCGCAACTGGATCTCTGTCCCCATTAAACACAGCCCGGGCACCCTCCATCTGCTTCCTGCTCTCAGGATGTGACTCCTCCAGGCCCTCCTGTGAGTGGGTACACAGGGGGTGACCTCTGAGCACCCTCAAAGGGTCCATCCCCACTGCAGCTGTGCCAGAGTGCCCTTCTTTTTGAAGGGTGAGTAATACTCCGTGGTAGCGTGGTCTGGCAGAGACAGGAAGGTCTTGCAGTGGCACGTGACTGCCAGTGGCATCTGGCTGCCCCATGCATGCACCAATGGGCACCCTTGTGGTCCCCGTGTCTTGGCTGAGAACGCGGGTGTGAATCTCCACTGACCGCTGCAGACCGCGGTGTATCCAGTTTCTCTGGTTCCAGTGGGAAGGGGACTCTTACACAGTAAGGAAGGCACGTCTCACCTGCTTCTCTTCTCTCTTGCAGGTATGACGAGGAAAGGCTCAAGGCCCGGAGGGAGACGTCTGTGTGAGTTGGGGCCAGGGCTGTCCAGGGTCACACAATGGGCTCGCGTGGTTTAGGCTCTGCAGGGGCCAGCATCAGCGTCATGAATACAGAGACTCGGGCTCGTGGCCTTCTCTGGAGGGTTTGTGCTCAGATCTGGGCTTGAGGCCTCACCTAGAGTGACAGAGCCAATGAAAACATCCCAGCCTCCTTGGGGGTTATGGTAAGAAATGAGGAGCAGTCGATCCACTGGGCCAAGTGCTGATCTGCAGAGTCTTAACAGCAAAGAGAATATGAAGTCGCCCCTTTCCAGAGGGAGCACAAGACCCCTCAGCGCTCACCAACCAGACACGCTGCTGCACGGGTGTGATGGTCTTTGGTGACGTCCCCGGGGTGACGCTCACAGAGCCTCAGGAGCCCCTGCTCCTGGGTACATTCCCACCCTCCGAGAGCCAGGCAGGGCGAGGCTGCCTGTTGGCATTTCACAGTCCAGAAATCGGGGCTCACGCTGGCTGCTGAGGCCACAAGCCAGTTCCTGAGAAAACTGGACTTTGAGTGGACAAGAGGGAGGTCACTGTCCGCCCTGTGGAAGACAGAGGCAAACAAGACGGAGTCCGGGTCCAGAAGTTTCCTCTGATCGCCAAGGAGGGGAATGGCTTGCCAGGAAGCGGAGTCCAGGAGATAGAGGGGATTCAGCAAGCCAGACACATAAGCAGAGGGGCAACTGTTTCACCAAGAGACATTTAGTAAGGCGGGGTGCGGGAGCCGCACGTGGCCAGAGGGCAGTGAAGCACCCTGTCTTATTCTTTTCATTCTGGCCAAGTACAAGTAACATAAGACGGGCCTTGCTAGCCACCGAAGTGTTCCAGGGACCCTCCACTCACACCGCTGTGCGGCCGTCCTCCCCCTCCAGCTCCAGAACTTCCTCCTCTTCCCCAGGTGGAGCTGTGTCCCCATTAAACACGAACCCCCGTCCCCTGCCCGGCCCCTGGCCCCACCTCCCACCTCCTGTCTCTCGGCCCTCCCGGGAGCGGGTCACTTGGCGTTTGTCCCTTGCATCTGGCTGGTGACCCTAAGCCCCGTGTCCTCATGTCCATCCAGCTGTGGCTGTCAGAATGTCCTTGCTCATGACTCAGTATTGCTCCAGTGTCTGGGGGACACACTGCGCACCCACTCAGCCCGCAACAGACACTGAGCTGTGTCCACATTTTGGCTGCTGTCACCCTGCTGCTGCAAGTGCAGATGGATGCTGTGGATTTATGTGGGTTCCTGTGTGTGCCCATCTCTGGTCTTTGAGAATCCGTGACTCTGGGTTCCTCGTGCCTGCACCGTGTACGTTCCCACCCGCCAGCCCCGGGGCTCCGATCTCCCCACTGCAATCTCGACATTTATTACTTTGTGATGTTCCAGCTGTGGCTTATCTGCCTGTACTTTTCCTCCCTGCTTCCTCCCTCCGTACCTCCTGACAAGCAGCGATAAATGCTCAGAGGAGTGGCCAGGGCCGGCCTCAGCCCCCTGCCCACCCCATCCTCCTCAGGGTCACCTCCAGCTTCACTCCCCATGGACAGTGGGGGGCAGCCTCTGGGGGGGCCAGCGCTTCCTGGGTAGCAACACCCTCCCAGGCTGCTCCCAGGCCTCCTGGAGGAGACGGTAGCGGGTGGGAGCTGAGCCCCAGCCCGCCGAGCTTGTCACTCACCACCTCTTTCTGACACCAGCATGCGGCCGCAGCCGGAATTTGTCCTGCCCAGGTCTGAAGAGAAGCCGGAGGTGGTGCCAGAGGAGGACAGGTAAGCGCACAAGTGACCACAGGCCGCTGCACCTGGGAGTCTGGGGAGGGTCGTGGGTCCTCAAGGGACAGAAAGGAGAACGTCCTGCCCCAGGCCGCCTCCCTGCTCCGAGTCTTTTTTTGAGGGGAAATTCACATAACGCAGCAAATGAGAGTTTAAAAGTGCTGGATTTACGGCACTTGGTGCATTTGCAAGGCTGGCAACCAACACTGCGCTCTTATTCCAGAACATTCCATCACCCCAGAAGCGGTTCCTGTACCCACTGAACATTAAACATTTGCCTCCATTTCCCCCCCACCCCCGTTTTGCGGGGTAGGCTCACCTTGGGCTCCAGACAGCAGCTCGACACCCTGCACATGGCGAGATGCTGGGCTTTTTAGAAGCTCTGGGCTTTCTCCGGCTTTCTCTCGTGGTCTCCTTGTAGCCACCTCCCTCTTGCAGCGTCTTCTGAGTGACGCTGCCCCCTACACCTGGCCTCCAGGCTCAGGTGTGCACACGCACCACGCCCACACGCCAGGTGTTCCCACTCAGGCACATGCTCCCGGCACCCACCTCCCAAGCACCTTCTGTATTAGCACCATCAAGGCCCCTGTGATAGCCACAGAGTTTAGAGGTGCAAAAAGCCCAACCAGCCCACCCACCCCCCCGCCCCTTCTATTTTTAAAATCCAACAAGCCTGTACCCAACCCTGGCCGGGCTGTTGAGACAGCCGGGCTCTGGCCCCCACTGTGAGATCAGGCTTTGCTCTCAGAAGAAGGCCCCGGCAGGTGGTCTTTGTGGGCCTCCCCTGGGCAGCCTTCCCAGGCCTGGGGCACCCTATTAGTGGTCTCGCTTTGTGTCCCTGAAAGGACCTGGCCTCCGGGCACTGCCTGTCCCAGCATCTGTCTGCAGCACACACCAGTGCTTCCTTTGCACCAGAGGAAGACAAAACAGTGTCGGCCCTCCCAGGCCCACGGCCAGATACTGAGTCTCCCCCAATTAGAGAAATCATGCTAAGATGCCTTGCCTCTCCCACAGGTCTGCTCTGGTCACAGAAGATCAGGAAACAAGGTAGGTCTGGAAAGGGGGGAGAGTTGCTAAGTCGTGTCTGCTGAATGGCGTCTACCCTGTGACCACTGCCCCCCAGCTGGCTGTTTGAGGGCAGGGGGTGTATTCTCTAGGGAGCCAGGGAGATGTGGTTGCCATGACAATGGGGCCTCCACAGTGGCAGGACACCCTCGCCCAGCCCAGCCCCAAGGGGGCACTCTTGACATGAGACCCCAGAGCTGGGCAACATGTGACACCATCAGAAGCCCCCTGGAGCCAACCCCCAGACATTCGGGGTCCAGTTCAGTGAAGTCACAATGTCTGGCTCCGGGCTGCCTCCGTACCCCTGCCTGTGTGTCCCTAAGACACAAGAGTCATCCTGCACAACGTATGCTTGAGCACGGGGAAGGGGTGGGTCGGATGGAAAGGACCCCCAGGAGGGGCCAGCTGTGAGCTTGGCTGTCCTCTCCCGGTGGCGCTCCTAAGACACCCTGTCATTCTTCCAGCCACGACGTGGGGCAATACACACCAAAGGTTGCTGACCCTGACCCTCGCCTGAGGCTTGGTTTGCGGGATATTCTCTGGGGGTTGATCACAAAAGCATGGCTGATGACCCAGGAGGCCGACTTCAGTCCTAAGCATTTCCAGAAGCTGAGCTGATAACAAAGAGCCCCTCCCTAAATCAAGCTCCGATGTGAGCAAGATCCCAGCAAATAAAGACCTTCATCAAGCTAGACACCGAGGTCTGAGAAGGAACCTCCCAGGAACCAGGCCAGAACCAAACCATTCTTTGGAATGTGCCGGGCAATCCTTCCCCACACACTTACAGGCCTTCACCCTGCCTTAGTACTGTCTTGCAATTCAGGAAGCCCCAAGCAGAGCTAGAGAA